ATTTAAATTAGTTATGATAAGATACTGAATTCAAAATAAATGGCAAAAAATGATTAACGTTTGGTTGTCCTTTGCTGCTGTGTTTTTTAATGGCTTCTAGACATGTCGAAAATGAGGAAGTTTTTTGTTTTTGTTTTGTTAACCATCTCTTTAACGATATCCTTATTGAGCCTAGGGCAGATTCGGAGTTGACTAAATTTCCAAAGCTTGATTATAAAAGAAAATATTTTGGGAAGCATTTTCAGCGACTGATGCCTACTAAATGTGGTTAAGAATCACGAATAACAAGTTAAATATGAAGTAACTACTTTGTCAGGGACACCCAACGTCAATTTTCGGAAAATATCTGTTCGGAAGACGATTTGAGATCTAGAATTTTCGGAACATTTGTTGGAGAATTTCTTGCTTGCCTGCCTCTCCTAGGATTTTCCAACATCTAAAAAATGGTATAATTGCCCATTTTTAACGGATTTCTACCCTAGAAAGGTCACCTAGAATTTTCGGGAGCCTTTTTTCTGGCTGAAATTTTCGAAAAGGTAATTAAGTTTTGATCCCTATAATTTTCGGATCACTAGACTTTCAGCTAGGAAATCCGAACAGATGAAAACTTTTTAGGGGATAAAAATATGCCCATATCTACCGTTTAAATACTAAAATACGTTTAACAATGCAATGTTTGAGTGGTTTTGAACTACTGATTCTCGTTGGGTGCCCCTGATTTTGTTGGACAAATTTGCGCAATTAACAAACTTTCCAAACGAAAGGACCCCTCAAAGCCCTACGATGAATTTTTTGCAGTAGATCAGAGACAGTGTACGCAAAGTTAGATAAGAATATTTTAATGATTATGAAAATTTCCAAACTCAAGAAATCTGAACCATTTGAAGCTGAATCCATAGCAGGAGGTTTAATTTTTAATGTTATCAATCCATCTTCTCTTCGTCAAGCGGCTTTTTTAAATCGCACCCTCTCAAATCCTTATTTCAGCCTGTATTAAAATTTTATGGCGGTCGTTAATTTCCATTTTAGCCATCCGTTGAGTGAAGGTTTGTTTTGTCTATAAGCGCCTTTGCGTGAGTAGATCTTTCATTCTATTTTGTCTTCGGTCTCGACTATATCCCTGCTACATCCTTTTGCACCTTTCTGCCATCTTGGATTCGACTTTTTGAATTTAATTTCTCACTGTCAATTGGAAAGAAAATATTAAGAGTTTCAGTTCACAACTGAACTTCTAAATATAACTTCAACGTAAAGTCTCATGAGTTGTTATGCTCAGAAATTCCTTTTTTCAGACGTCTTGGTTTAATCACTTCAGTTATATTGTTGGAAGTAAAAAATTCAAAAGGAAAAACTGAACACAAATAGGAGCGTCTCAATGGGGTGGTGGCTTTTACGGTTATCGGCTAAAATTTTGGCTCTTTTACGGCTATCGGTTAATTTTTTTCAGTTACGGTTAACGAAAAAGTTAAAAATTAACTTCTTTTGTTTCAAAAAGTTAAATATTAATTAACCCGTATTTTTTTGTATCTTTAAATCAAAATAAAGGTCTTCGGATCATCTCGGGATGAAATAAGCTATTCTTTTGTAAAATTTTAACATCTGATAGATCATAGTTTTTATAAAGTATTCCACTTCTAATATTATTTTACACTTAGAAATGTCAACAGTCAATTTAAAAATAATCTTTGTGAAAAAGCAAAACAAGACACGCAAACGCCCAACTCAGGGCCGGGGCACGACAAATGGCCGTTTTCACACTAGAGAAGGATTATTCGTGTGAGACGGGTTATCCGTTTGATGATTCAGATAGGTAATACGTCTTAATTTAAAAATGGAATAGTTTTAATTTTGAATGAACAATCCGCCTGACTTTTGAAGACGGGATTATCCTTTCCAGATAGCCTGTGTACGGCCGCCCCCTCCCCCCAGAAAAAAATCACAGGCTAGGCTCAGACGGATGATCCATTTCTAGCCCTAGTGTGAAAACAGCCAATAACAAAATTCCCGTGTCCGGTGTTTATAATGATAGCGAAGGACTGTAAGGAACGATTGTCTGCCGTTGCCTTGTCCGTAGACCCGCATTATTCCGCGCGGCTAATGCGTTTCGGGTCACGTGGTCCGAGCGAGTTCTCCACCGAAATGCCTTGTACAGGGACTAGGCATGGCAATGTCTACCGTAGCGTCAGAGAAAAACAAGGAAATGTTATTTATCGGCAACATGTTTTACAAACAGTGACATCTCTGCGTGTTGTTTCACTAGTGTTTCGAGGGCACGACCTCCAGAAAATTGCAAATACTAATCCCCAGCGAGAAGCCACACTTTCGCTATGGAAAAAATTAGTTCCCCGAGCCGGAGCGCCGGAAATGGAGCCTAGGTCTTGGTTAAGGCGCTTCGCCTAACGTGCGTACGGAGTCACACTAGCCGGGAAATAAAAAACGCAACCATAAGTGATTTTAGTACCTTCCTTAAAAGTAGCAAATCTAGAGAACAATTTCCTTTACGGTTAACTCTTTTTTGCCCTATTTACGGCTAACGGTTAAAATTTTTCAATTTTTACGGCTATCGACTAAATTTTTGGCCGTTTTACGCCTATCGGTTAACCCCATTGAGACCCTCAAATAGCACGATTAATAATAACAACAAATATATTTATGCAGGTTTTTATGACTCACATCTGCAATCTGTTTTGAAACTTTCAGTTTTAGGATTTCTGACTGAGAAGACAGCATGAAAAAGGCTACAATAGATAACGGCTTATCCAGCGTCGCATCTCTGCTTTTCTACAATTATAGTTATCACTAAGTC